AGCATTTCTGCCATTCCGGAACTGGATCTCAGTTGTACATGGACATATTTTATTCAAACTTAGTACTGTATGTCCACTAAACATAATAGGTCTTTGGTGCACGTAATTTTTTCTCAGATTTGATTCAAAATGGCTGACTGATGGCCATTTTGTTTTTTTTACAAATGCTGTTTTTGGAGCCATATTGCTATCATGGCTGGAATGATCATGTTCAAATTTTACACATACATCATGTAACACATTTGCACATGTATGTGTTTCAGAATTTGATTCAAGATGGGTGATCATCATTTTCATGCTAGAAATGCATTGTGAATTCATTGGCTCCACTTTGTATCATGTCTGTCACATGACTGTAAACAATTATTTGGTACTACTCGATGGAGACTTTTTATTGACAATGACTTGTTTTTAAAGCTTTTTAAGGAGAATTGTTTATTGTAGTAAATATGAACTGCACTATGAATTTTCTCATCTCATTCATATGAGGTTATTTTGAGGATACCGAAAAGTATGCACGAAGACAGTACATCGGGAGTATTGTCTGATGCGAACACATACTGTCTGAGTGCATACTTTTCGGTATCTTCATAATAGCCTTATTATTATACATCTTTTCCTACCAAGGATACATCATGGGAATGCCGAAATTAAAAAAGTTTAGAACAGATTGAGCAAACTTCTTTGTATGGGGTCCGGTCAAACCCTGGTGGCAGCCATGTTTGTTTTTATTATTAGAGGACGCTTATGCGCGTAATTGTTCCATATTTGGAATTTGCATTTCCTAATATTGTAGGATGAAAATACCCAGTGCAATACCGCAAAATTACGGCACGCTGTAACTTATGGCATTGCGGTGACAGATGTATAATAATAGTTATTATTCATCAAGTATTTTGAATAAAGAGATTATGTGCAGTGGCATTAAATGTGCAGTGGAACATAAATGCTTAAAAGTTAATTCCATGTAGCTATTTCTAGGTTTACGTTCAAATCCGTAAATGAAGGAAATGTACAAAAAACAGAAATCTAACCTTTACTTAAAGCAGGGGAGTCATCACCTGCACATACGTCAGATGGCTATAGCGTGTCATTGATTACAAACAAGCGTCTACCCATGCGCCTTTGCGTTTTTAGCATGCGTTGTAATCGTCGCTTGGTACTCAATTCCCGCATGTGCACAGCCTAAGACCCCTCCGCTTTAATCTTAGTCTTAATTGGTTTATGAATGATTACGTCACGAAGCATTACGTCGAAGATTAATTAAATGTTCATAAGATGATACATCAGACAAACAAAAACTAAAATAGCGACAGACATATTTATAAATAAATTTCTCAAATTTCTTCAAATTTCAGGCAATAGTCTTTTTTGAGATTCACAACAAATAACATATTAGGTGCTAAAAATATCTTTATAATCTACACACGTCTTCATTTGATCTTTTTCCTGCGTTATGCGTGTATATGTGTTCTGTGATTATATCAGTTCTATTTATAGTAATATTTAATAATCATGACAATAACTATTCACTTCAGAATAAATTATCAGCCGTATAAAGTTATTATTTTACTATTTTGCAATTAACATTATATTATTGTTGCATTTATCTGCTATGCTGTAGGAGGCATAACTGATAATGAAAACAATTCAACAGAGTCTGTATACCATACCAGGGGTTTTTCTAGAAAAAAAACTGTAAGAGGGAGCACTGCATTCAGCGGCACCACCAAGTGGGGGAGATAGGGTTCTCCCAACCAGGGTGTGGAATTTTTAATAATTCTAAGTTAAAATGGAGCATTCTATGGCTTCCTTGGGGCCAAAATTACTATCAGACAAGTCACAGTTGAAGACTGTGGCCACATGTGATCTCTGGTCATTCAGAATTTTATGGTTGCCAGAGGATCTGCTCCCCAGGGTAAGGGGGCGCATGACCATGGCATGAGGGTGCTACGACCCTGTTCTCTTGTTTAAAAAATTCCCTGCCATACTACACTGGTTACCACTATCACTTATTTAAAGTTTGATCTCAATATCTCAATTGTTTTAAACTGATATATAAATCGATTCATGTAATACAACATACTAGAATATATATAATTTATTCAAAATCTATACTTCATCATAAAATCTTCGTTCATCAAGCCCATTTTTTGTTATTGCTTAGTGCTATAGAACTATAGATCCCCTTATTTATCTCCCGAGTTAATGAGATCATTAGACTCCCTCAATGTCAGACATCTGGCAATATTCTCAGTTAGATCAGTACTAATTCTGCTCCAAATGTCAATTCCGCAATGCTCCAGCTAACACATTCCACATTAAATTTTTTAAATAACTTGTACTCAGAACTCTCAAAAACATGAACAAGAGTGCAGCACCCCCATGCTGCCAACACTTCAAATTTATAGTACATATCAATAATTCAAAAGATGGACATATTTGCATAGGTCATTATTTTTATAAACAAATATTTTTTTGTGTGCGACCAAAACAGCATTTTGGTTGGGATAATTTGTAAAATAAATAATTCTTGTAAAACTAATTAATTTCCAAATAAATATTAAAATATTTTTTTTTTCTATTTCATATTCCTACTGTATTTACAATATAAGAATTATAAGCAATTACATAACTTAAGTTCAACTCTTGAGGGTCATAATCAAGTCTTGATCAAAATTTGGGAAAAATAATGAAAAATGATTTAAAATTTGTGAATGGTGACAAAAGTTGATTTGGTGCTCAAATGGTTAATGATATGCAAATTACCTAATTAATATGCACAGATGGTATATAGAACTATTTTGTGAATAGTGACAAAAGTTGATTTGGTGCTCAAATGGTTAATGATATGCAAATTACCTAATTAATATGCACCAAGGGTATATAGAACTATTTTGTGAATAGTGACAAAAGTTGATTTTGGTGCTCAAATGGTTAAAGATATGCAAATTACCTAATTAATATTCACAGATGGTATATTAGTTTTTGTAAATGGTGACAAAAGTTGACTTTGGTGCTCAAATGGTTAATGATATGCAAATTACCTAATTAATATGCACAGATGCGTATAGAACTATTTTGTGAATGGTGACAAAAGTTGACTTTGGTGCTCAAATGGTAAATGATATGCAAATTACCTAATTAATATGCACAGATGGTATATAAAACTATTTTGTAAATGGTGACAAAAGTTGACTTTGGTGCCACTCCCGCAACAAGAATATATACATGGTGATGCTTTGATTTGAAATGTAATCACACTGAAAACCACCAAGATTAAATCATTGGGATTGGATGTTGTAAGATTATCCCAACTGATTACATACTTTGTTTCAAAACATTGTTGATTACCTATCGACTTTGTCTACAGTTCCGACATATTTAGACATACATGTAAAAATAATATAAATCCATCTTGACTGGAAAAACCTCTACAGCTTCCTGATATGTTTTGAAACAAAGTAGGTAATCACTTTTTCTAATCTTACAACATCCAAAGCAACCTCAATAACAAAATTCTTGTGGTTTTTAGCGTAAATTCCTGTCCTTCCTGACGTGCAGGCATACATATACTAGTATTAGATCTGCACTGCTAACAGATGAAATATGGTATATTTTTTTAAACATTTTTGTATTGTAGTATACATGTTAGTAATGTTGTTTCCATTTATCTACAGATGATAATGTATATATCCATGGTGCAGCAGCCACGCCCATCACTTTAGTGAATGCTATGACTGAGTATGGAGCCGAAAATAACCTGACAAATATCAAACTGTTTCATATCCACACTGAAGGAATAGCACCATACACAAGACCTGAATATGAAGGTGAATATTGACTTCCTAACAAAAACTACTTCCTTCACAGCTCAATATTTATATAATGTTATCGTAGTGTTGATGTGCCTAAAGAATCTCTGAAGTTGAGGTCTTTAATTAGTTCGACAAAATTGTCACTATTTGGATATTTATTTTTTATATTGACTGTTATTTGTCAATGTATAACTATGTTCACATGTGTGCTACAGAGTCGGCATGACTAGCTTGGTAAACAAACGTTATCAGTGGTTTTAATGTGTGCTTATACATGTATAAAGACTAAACTGAGTCAACGTTGATGTCATCAACTCTGCGCCCTCAAGCAACCAGATTCTAAATTCAAAATGATGGACCAGGAAATAATGTTGGTGATGGCTTTGCTTGTGTTCTTTATGTTTTTACGGTCCAGATGATTTAGATGTTCATTAATCATCAACATCAACATCATTTTTCATCATTTCTACTCTAACTTTATTATCACTATCATCACCAGAAATTCCACCTTCTTGAATCATTTCCCTATTGGGGTTCACACCGGGGTGATGCCCAATATCTCGAGAAGGTCATCGTAAAAATCCAAGGTGATCAACCATTTTCACCTTGTTTGTTGTGGTCCAAAACTTTTTTAAATTGTGTACCATAGTCTTTTCATTTTTCTGTGGCATTTGCTCGATGATCTGTCTCGTCCCATTTCTCTGGCCTTGTTCCGTATAATCTTGTAAATACGACTATCTCTTGTTGTATTTGCATCCATCAAAGTTGTTATTTTTTCATCCCTTTCTAATAATAACTTGACTTCATCTCATCGCATTTGTTGTTATCGGCTGCCATGTTTGTAATGAATGGAAACCGGGGCGAGGCTGACATTGAGAGCTTGCTTTTAAGGCGGCACTACTGTTCACACATGCTAAAACCGTTTCTGTAAGTATGGGGTGCCTGTCCAAGACATTGTAAATACGTAGAGATCAACATAATATAAAATCGCATTGTTTTGTGAATATATATCATGCATGTGCTCAGAAAATGGTTAGAAAGATTAATGTTTTGCGTAGACCAAATATAATCATGCATAACTTTTTTCTTTCATGCTCCGAGCATTGATCTTGTAGAATTTGCCCATACTACGTATATATATATACTATCTCTCCTATTTGACATGTTCATGTCAGTTTGTTCCATAATCAGATCTTGTTTTTTTTTAAATGTGGTATCTTGGACAGAATTTGTTGGTTTTTTATGTCCATGATGACCAACTGGCAGCCATCTTGTTTTTTCAAAATGTATTGTTGACATGTTTTTTTTTTTCTCTTCAAATTATACATGTTAGGATACATGTCCATGACAATTAGTTTCACAATTGGATCAAAGATGGTTGACTGCTTGCAATCTTGCTTTTTGACCATACTACTATATCTTTTTACATGAGCCTGGACAAAGGAAATTCAGTTTTGATACAAAAAATGCATGAATAGCATATCCTGTTTAATTTGTGACCCTATATTTCGATTTGGAAAGAGTAATTTATGTTGATAATAGACCAGCCAATTATCTGCTTTCAATTACAAACTACAGTTTGCTTTTGGTGCATATTACTTTATTTTTGGCATGAATAATATTTCTCTTAATTCCAACGAGGACTATGTCATTAACTTGTTTCCTTTATTTTACGTTCAACTCATCAAAAGTCAGGGAAAATTAATTCCCACTAAAATATTTAATAAAAGTATTTCACAGTATTATTAAATGGGCATGCTGCGTACTATTATCACCGTTAACCTACCATGTATTGAGTACCATAATATTTATCTCCCAATCCACAGGTATTTTCAGGAGTAACTCGTTTTTCATTGGTGGTAACTGTCGTGAGGCCGTCAATGCCGGTAGAGCCGATTTCACTCCCATATTTCTTGGTGAGATTCCCCTGCTGTTTAGAAGGAATATCATCAATTTAGATGTGGCATTAATTATGGTCAGTCGTCCAGATGATCATGGATTTTGTACCTTGGGACCAAGTGTGGATTGTACAAGAGCTGCAATACAGAATGCGAAACATATCATAGGTATGTTAAAAATATCATACTTACATTAAAACACATCATAGGTATGTTAAAAATATCATACTTACATTAAATATATCATAGGTATGTTAAAAATATCATACTTACATTAAATATATCATAGGTATGTTGAATATATTGTGGTTACATTAAATATATCATAGGTATGTTGAATATATTGTGGTTACATACTATAAATAAGTGCACAGAATGTTATTAGATTATTTTTTTAATAAACCACCCATCCAAAACCTCATGCATGGTTATGTTTCAACAGGTTGTCAATTTACACTGTCAATTTATTTACAGAAAATATCTAGTGCAAATTTAAGTTTCAGAAACTTCAATTTCGTATTTCAAAAGGGAAAAGATTGTACTAGGCAGCCAGTACATTATTAGTTAGTACATGTATCCATTCTTGAATTGAATTCTTATTAGTGAATTAAAATCTAGATCTAGAGGCAAGGTTTTAGTAGTTACCCTATGTTTACTTTATGCACATTTCTGTTAGAGATAATAGGTTTAGTTGAAACAGTGCACATTACTTATTAATTTTCAGTATTTAATTAACAGTAATTTTCTTGTATAATTTTGTCAGGACTGGTGAATCCTAAAATGCCACGTACATTTGGAGATGGTATAATTCATAAATCTCATTTTGATGCCTTGGTGGAAGATGAATTTGATCTACCTGAAAAACCAAGGCATGTCTTAACAGATGAAGAGAAATCCATTGGCAGATACATTGCTGAAAATTTGGTAGAAGATGGTGCCACCTTACAGATGGGTAAATATTGTTTGTACTATATATATGGCTATAAAGATTAAACATTCTCGTACTTGCTGGGGTATTTTATAACAGCAATATTTTTCAATAAATCATCTTATTTGGTTATTAATTTTACAACAGTTATTCAAACCATTGCTGACTGATATGGTAAACATCAAAAAGCTGTTAGCATATGTGTGTTTACTCACCTCCTTTTCCAATACTTGTACCAAAACTTACATTTCAAGCAGTCTGTTCTAGTTATGTGTAATGGCATTATAGGGTGGAATTTTTGTACTATTCTGAACTAAGAATGGTGTCAGTATATTTAGAGGACAATTTTTGTCAGATGAGTACAAAGATTTTACAATATGACTGAAACCTTGTTTATGCATTGAGGGCAATTAAGATTGAATGAAGACAAACAGAAAATTGATTTGCCAACAAACAACAATTTATAGACGATACTAAACAAGAATTTATGATTCAGATCACATGGGGAAACACCAAAAAACAAAGATTTTTATCCTGGATCGTTCAAAATCAAGCATTTATGGATGGATTTTGTTCAAACTTGGTGCACACGTTGGACATTATGGGACCTTTTGTGTCATTTTGTTTTTCAGATTGAATTTAAAATGGCCGACTGGCAGCCATTTTGTTTTAATGAATGCAGTTCTAGTGTCATATCTCCAAGTGGCGGCCATTTTTGTGCAAATAAAGCATTTCTGGCATTGTGGAACTGGATCTTGGTCGTTTATGGATATCTTAAGTTTTATAACTAACAGAGACTGTGCCATGCATGGCTTGTTTCTTTGTATAATAAATTAGTTTATAATTAACAATTGTTTTGAAAATCTACATCAAATATTATGCCATAAAACATTAAGAATAAATTCTGTTTTGTATTAATGCTATGCCTCCTGCACAAACCTTACTCCATACATGTTATTTCTGCTTTTTATATTTCATTCATGCTTCACCTCACAAAATATTATAGACTTTTGCACTTTAATACCTCTCTACTCGCATGTGTCAAGTAGTGTACAAACAATTAGGTTTTGTGATAGCTAACAAATAACTATATTACTGGATGGAGTTGGAAAGTCTTATCAATATGTTGGAATTGAATCTTATGAAATGAAATCTTATGAATTGAGTTTAATAGGGAATCTTATGATTTGGTGGGGAAATCTCATAGATTGAGTTAGGGAGTCTTATCATTGGGTGAGGTAATCTCATGGATCGAGTTATAAAGTCTTATCAACAGGTCTGAAATCCAATATAGAAGCCTTATAAGGGGTGGTGTTGAGGTGTGGGAGTGTTAGCTGGTGGTAACTACATGATAGTAATAACCAGTTCAAAGACCAAAAACCATTATAATTCTTGACAAATACCAGTTGAAGGATTCATTCAATGAAATATTAAACAAGCTGATATATTTGTTGTTCATTTGTTACAAAACTCTGAATTCTATTGTCACAATGCGTGTTTCGCGTGAAATTAGCTTACCGGTAATCCCCACACTGTCTACATTAACATAAAATTAGCATATACCAGTAGTATGACATCATTTTCACCCAGAATACCACGTGATTCATTTCTGCGCAAAACTTTCTGACTACCGGGTATTTATTTCGATGAAATGCGGGGAAAATACAAAGATGTTGTCAATTTCAGCGACAGTGATTTTCATTAGAATGACATAATGGAAGAATGTCCCCAGTATTCAGATGTAGGATATATGCATGAAGAGGATGTGAACAAAACACAGACTACATCGTCACCACCACCACCACCGTCGTCATGTATGGCTTCAAGTTGACACCTGGCCACAAACGAGACTGAATTTTTAACAGAAAAAAAAGTAATGAAATAATAAGAGAACAGCAATGGAAATAATATTTGACATTTTTTTGGGATATCTAACCCTGAAACAGTACTAACTATGTGATAGTTTAAGCCGAAATGTGCAGATACGAGGGTCGATACAATCGGATACTCTCAGCATATCGGCGACAATGGTGGGTGTCGCCATCTTGAAAACAAAAAATCTGCCGAGCACACATACCAAGTAACGTAACATACTGTTATTTAATATGATTAGAATGGGTCTTGGTATGATTATCAGAAAGCTACAATTAATTCCATCTTTTAAGTTTCAGTTGTTCATATTTCTCACGGAATAACATTTTTTGTTAGTGACACCAAAAATCTTATTTCATACACAACACCTACGGCAAAATCAAATGCAAAATGAATGACTGAAATGAACACCTTCCCGGCACTTATGCACAAAGTAAAAATATTGCCCAACAATTAGTGTATCAAATCACAAATTAATAAAGACTGATTGTTTTGGGTGTGATATCGCAATTTACCAGGTTTGAAACTTTCGGGGTAATGAATTTATTAGAGTGCTAAAATTTGAAATCAAAATTTTTTCTTTATTTATAATGAATATGGATTTTAAACTACACGTGCCTTTTCACAAATCAGATATGATCACACAGAGACTTGTAACTTTAAATCAAATTTAACGACTTTACTTTAAAACATGCAATATTTGTAGACGTAACACAGAACAGAAGTGCTTCAAACGAGCTTGAAGAAAATGCTATGACGTCACCGCTGTCTCCCCACAAGCGCAACACGCACTGTGCACGGAACTCAGATGATTCACACCTTAGAACAATAGCGTTTCCCAACCGGGTGTTGAGGGACTGTGCTCTAATGCTGAAAGCGGGATTCTGTTACAAAACTTCAAAGATTATAATTATTTAATTTGCATATCTGGCAACTAAAGACATTGTTTGGCTCATTTCTTATGACTTCATTTCTTTTCTACATTAATTTATTTGCAAGGCTATAATTTGTCCTCAAAATATGGTGAGTCATTTTCACATATTAATAAAATAAATTGTTACGATGCTTGGCTGGTTATATATGAATATGCTTGCTTTAATTGTAAGAATTGTGTCAAAGTTCAATCAATGATTTTGTGTTTTGCTTTTTAAGGAAGTCATGTGATCTCCACCAAGTTACATCAACCTGCACTAACAATCAATCAAAACCCTATGTATAACCAATTCCATCCAACAACTGTTTTGAACGATTTGTTACGACACTTTACCTATAGAGGGCGCTCATTAAAAGCATGATATGTTTCAGCTGGAGTTTTTGTCTGCTTCATTGCATTTGGATGTTTGTTTTTTAAAAGTGTGGTTGGCCAGAGCTTTCAGCTAATTTGCATTCATCAAGTATTGATTATGAAGTTACGATTTGAAAATTGTAGAGGTGGCTTCCGATCTACCTAAATGTTAGTTTATTATTTTTGATGAAACAGATTTGTCGTATTGGCTCTCATCGGCACAAATACAGCATTTCATATTTTTTGTTCATCATCAGAATAAATCACCTTTGTCAACCACCATCAGTATATATATATATATATACACATACACATACACATGCACGCTCACGCGTGCACATGCACGCACGCACACACATGTACACATGCACGCACGCACACACATGTACACGCACACCTCTATACTCAACTTGTGTGACCTCTTACCTTCACAACTTGTATGACCTTTCATCCTCATCATTTTACAGAATAGCTTTTTATATATTATTTCATTTCTGAACAAAAGTTTTGATAAACTTTGATTTAAAAACAATGCTGTAACTGCAATTACATTACTGTTTAATTCAATATAGACATTTCTAGTGGAACTATTAGTTATCACATTCCGCTGTTGTGTGACATGTTGCAACTACAAATGTACATCAATCTTGCTCATAACAGTATTTGTATTTTGCAAATAGATCACCTACGTGGAGTACGGACCTATTTTATGAGATAAATGTGATATTACTTTACGTGGGACTATGGGAAAAGTAAAACACAACCTGTTTAATCAGAAAAAGTTCTTATGATTTTTTTAAACTCTAGGTAATATAACATTGTTTTGAACTATATTCTGAAAAATAAAAAATTGGAGGTGCAGACCTATTTTTAATAATAAGGCAGTTTCAGTAATTTGCCTTATGCTAATACATAGGGAATGGAATGCAAAGAACAATTTGCATCCACATCGAACCATCCATGGTCGGGAAACTGTAATGAGGACCCTTTAGTACAAAAGCAAAATTTAAGCAGCACATTTCATTTCTTATATTTCTGTTGCTACTGACCATGATATTGTTTTTTGTTGTATGTAGCACAATTTCTATTATTTTATATTATTGGAATATATCAGCTCTATTGTGTTTTTGGTCTTGAAGAATTGTTGTTGTCTTAGAAACCATAAATTGATTTGAAATTAATATAAAAAACATCACCAGCAAGCCAAATAAACAGTACTAACAATTTTACAAAAATAAATTCCACCAATCACAAACTGTGTATTATGACACAAGATACGCAAGATATTTTCCACCAATCACAGACCTGTAACATATGATGCAAAACAGACAAAAGATTTTACCCCAATCATAGACTCTCTAAGGTATGATTCAAAACAGACAAGAAACTTTCCACCAATCACAGACTGTGTAACATACGGTAATATGCAATACATAAAAAATTACTTTCCACCAATCAGTCAGCATAGCATCTAATCACTCCTATTCTTGTTTTTTCCAGGTATTGGATCAATTCCTGATGCTGTACTTGAACAACTCCAGAATCATCAAAATTTAGGAATCCACTCAGAAATGTTCAGTGACGGCGTTGTTGACCTCATAAAAAGTGGTGCAGTTACTAATGCACATAAAAAAATTCATCAAGGCAAAATAGTTGGTGGTTTTTGTGTTGGTACAAGAAGTCTGTATGATTACATGGATGATAATCCATTTATTGGTAAGCACTCAATATTGGCCTCTTCACCACCACTGTTAACTTATGTATCAGTCCACAAATAGTCCTGTTAACCCTTTCACCACCACTGCCAATTATGTATCATTCCACAAATAGTTTCCTCGTTTCCAAGAGAAAAGCTTATTTTGACCAAATCTATGAACAATCTTCTATTCTATCATTTTTGTTTAAAAACAATTTGAAAAAGGAAGAATATTACAGCAAACATTCATACCAAAGTATTATTTTGAAAGTATTATTGTAGTCTGTGTTTCCATAAAAGTAGTTCTTTGGGTCGCAATAGTGTCTGTATTAGTGTTTACCTTACTTTATGAATGAAATGACAAAACACTATATTGTGTAATTATTCATGAAAATGTTACAATTTGGTCAAATACAATAAATAAGGTTATGGCATGATCCTGTTTCACATACCAATAAATATTTGTAACAAATGCTATTTGCATAGTTCTCCTTCATCATTATTCTCTTATTTCTCTACAGTGATGTGCGATATTGCATTTGTCAACAACACTTCAATTATATCCCAGAATCCCAGAGTAACTGCTATTAATTCATGTGTGGAAGTTGACCTTACTGGACAAGTTGTGTCTGATTCTATCGGTACTAGGATGTATTCCGGTAAGGTCATTTATTTAAGTTTTATTTGCTCTTTTAGAAGCGCACAAAAGTTATTAATTGGATTATTAATTTACTGTAAAACATGTTGAAATAGCCATCATGCCATTCTAGCGAATTCAATCAAATGCATAAATTAACAGAATCTTAATTTAGCTGGAATGTCAACAATCTCATTGTTAGAATATATTTTATTAGCTCCGCTGTCGACTTTGTCGAGCGGAGCTTATCATATGAGTGATTGTCCGACGTCGTCGCCTGTTGTCGTCCGTCGTCCGTTGTCTGTGTCAATGTTTTACTTTTTCGACTTCTTCTTGAAAACTACAAGTCTGAATGCTTTGATACTTGGTGTATATGTACCTTGGGTAGACCTCTCTCAGATTTGTTCATTTCATGATCATATCTTCAATTCTCTAATTTTGGTGAATATTTTTGTCATTTTTGGTAAAAAGTGATATTTTCGACTTCTTGTTAAAAACCACAATCATTTATGGTGAAAAATGATATTTTTGAATTCTTGTTGAAAACAGCAAGTCCCATTGCATTGATACTATGCATATTGTTCATTTTCTAATGATATCTTCTGTTCTTTAATTGAAATGTGCATTGCTAACAGCGGAGCTATCTCAGCCGAGAGGCTGCTTGTTTTTAAATTAGTGACATCTTGAATCAGCAAAATTATGGATTAGTTAAATTAAAGCAGGGGAGTCGTCACCTACGCATACGTCAGATGGCCATAGCGTGTCATTGTTTACAAAGAAGCATCTACCCATGAGCCTTTGTGTTTTTAGCGTGTGTTGTTCTCGTCGCTTGGAACTCAATTCCCAATTCTTGCTTTAACTAAAATAACATCTAGCTAAAAAGACATATTTTATGGAATTCCTTATTTTGACCATAGACATACGATTGCTACTATTAAAGCAAATAACGTAAACTATGCATCTTCTGAAAGCCACAGTAATTACGTCTTTATTTGTTTGTCTGAGTCTAACAACCTTACAAATTAGACATAATGCTTAGTCCCAGCATTTGAAACACTATTAATAAGTAACAGATGGGAAATTTTAATTTTCTTCTTGATTTTTAAAAATTTATAAA